CTGATCTATGCACATGAATGGATGAATACATCACTATTAATGGATTAATAGCTATAAATCGATGTATTCCTATCAATAGAGCCCAATTAATAGCTATTAATCAATAAATAAACATATATTATCCCTATCAATAGAGCCCAATTAATAGCTATTAATCAATAAATAAACATATATTATCCCTATCAATATAGCCTAATTAATAGCTATTAATCAATAGATAAACCTATATTATCCCTATCAATGGAGCCGAATTAATAGCTATTAATCAATAGAGAAACCTGTATTCATATATTAATACCTATTAATCAATATATTTATCTATCTGAACCAATATCGATCTATTAATACCCATTAATTGGCAATATTCCTCTATTAATTGCTGGATATTAGAGATCTCAACCCCCAAACTGGACATTAATCGATAATATCGATTATAGATGTGAGGATTCATCAGTATTACATTAATCTGGGTTAATATTAATGGATATTAATGAGTATTAATTAATATAAATCGCTATTAAACAGCACTGATTGATATTAATAGATATTATATTAATATTTGGTGTGCTATTTAGGAGCAGTTCCATTTTATATCGATTAATACTGATATCAATAGGTCAATCTAATATCTAATATCTATAATATATAGCTTATAACATATAGTTAATATTGAATATATCACATAATGATTAATATAATTAATGATTAATATAGTAAATGCAATATTTAATATATGATACACGTAAAATATCGCATTTAATATATTAATAAATCATTAATTAACATGAATGAACTGTTAAAATAGGCATCGATATACCTATTAAATACAATAAATTGCAGATAAATAGATATTATTAGCTTAGATATCTATGAATCTATTAAATATATCTATAATAATCACATTATAATCCAATATCACCTATTAAATCCTGTTTTATAGCGAGATATTAAAAATACCTATTATTAGAAGGCATTTTCTAAGCTATCTATGAGAAATAGTCCATTTATTAGTCCATTTATTAATTTAATTGCCCATTTATTAATTTAATAGCCTGTTTATTAATGTCAGTATTAATTTAATTGCCTATTTATTAATTTAATAGCCTATTAATTTAATAGCCTGTTTATTAATTTAATAGTCTATTAAGAGTCTATTAATTTAATAGCCTATTGATTTAATAGTCTATTCATTAATTTAATGGTCTATTTATTAAGAGATAAAAATGTATATTAAATATTTAATATATCTGTTAATTATACCCATCTATGTCAAAAATCTATCCATTAATGGTAATAAATCGCTATTAATTATCCTATTTTGACATAAAATAGAGGTTTTCATATAAAACAGAGATCCATTAGCCCAAAACCGCCTGAATTCACCCCAAAACGCTGTTCCCCCCTTTAATAAGCGTTCTTTTGCCCCAAACCACCCCATTTCACCCCAAAACGTTGTTTTGCTCCTAGCGTCGGCCGAAAAGGGGGGGTTTTACCCAAACCCGCCTGATTTCACCCCAAAACAGGGTTGTTTTTCACCCCGCAGCTGCTGTTTTTCACCCGTTCCGCTCCATCGCCTTCCATTTAAACGATTTTATGCAAAAACAACCCCAAAAAAAAGAGGAATTTGCCCAATTCTCGCTTCTCGTTTTTAGCTATTTTCGAAACCGAAAACAGGCGGTTTTGGGTGTAAAACAACCCAAAGCTGCACCTGCGGGGCCCAGCGCGGCCATTTTAGGGCTAAACCCCCCTTTTACAGGCAAAACCCAACTTTTAATCCTATTTCTTTATATTTTTACACCTTTTTTATCTTTGTGGCCAAAAAAGTGCAAAAATCGGGGTGGTTTTGTCTCGTTTGAGCACCGTTTTGGGGCAAAAAGCACGATTTTGGGGTTTAGTTCGAATTTCAAGCCCTGACATTAAAACATGCTCTTTTTTTACATCAATATTTAATATATTTCTGGTTTTCACCTCGTTTTACCCAAATTTCAGCATTTTCAAGCCTTTTTCTCCAATTCAACCTGATTTTGACCCATTTTTCTACATTATTCTTACCTAGTTCCTATTTCTCTCTATAAATTTTACCTATTTCCTATTTTCAACTATTATTCCGTCAATATTTCACACATTTTCTCTTTTCTGTCAATTTTCAAACCCTTTTCCATCAGTTTTAACCCGTTTCAATCAGTTTTAACCCATTTTCCATCAGTTTTAACCCATTTTCCATCAGTTTTAACCCATTTTCCATCTGTTTTGACCCTTTTCAATCAGTTTTAACCCGTTTTCAGTCAGTTTTAACCCGTTTTCAGTCAGTTTTAACCCGTTTTCAGTCAGTTTTAACCCATTTTCAACCAGTTTTACCTATTTCAATCAATCTTTATGTCCATTTTTTATCAATTTCAGATCCATTTTAATCTAGGTTTGATGTCCATTTTATACCCATTTTTCTACCTATTTTATCCTTTTTTTACCGAATTTTCCATTTTTTCACCCATTTTCCTGTTTTCCCTCTGTTTTTGTTCCGTTTCATCCATTTTCTACCGAATTTTCGACCCATTTCACCCCTTTTTCTCAATTTCCATCAGTTTGTGTAGTTTCACACATTTTAACCTATTTCATCGATTTTAACCCATTTTCCTACCTGTTTTCTATCTATTTTCATCTGTAGCCTTTATCTACCCGATTTTATATCAGTTTAAATCTCATTTTTACCTAATTTCCCCTTTTTTAACCTAAATTTTGACCCCGTTTTTGTCACTGCATTTCCACCTCTATTTAATCTACATCTAAATATATATTATATATTATATCATATGTATATTTCCCCATCATTAAAAATAACATTAAATCCATCAAACAGCCCCAAATTACCCAGAATTTGCCCTAAAACCCCTCCAATAACTTCATTTCGCCCCGATTTTGGGCAAGAATTGGGTTTTTTCGGGGGAAAATCGCCTGATTTGAGGATTTCCCCTTAAAACCTCACTTTGCTGCCCCAAAACTCCCAATTCCCTGTTAGAATCCGTTCAGAAATGCAATAAAACGATGGAAAATTCATTAATAAGCAGAAGAATGGGGAAATTTGGGTAAAAAGAGGGGAAAACTGGGATATAATTCATAATGGCCCCAAATCCCCCGTTTTAAAGCAAATCTGGGCTAAAAAAGGAGGGAGTGGGGCTTTAACAGCGAATTTACCCCCAAAACGACCCAAAAATGGAGAGATTGGCTCGTTTCTGATCAAAAATCTATCTATAATATGAATTTCTCCTTTTTCAACCAAATTCTGCCTTTTTGACCCCAAATTTCATTCCCCCCCCCCCAAAAAAACCACTAAAATCTGGGGGTTTGGGACATTTTTGCCAACAAATTGCCCTCAGTTCTGTTTTTTTTCCACAAAAAAAAGGAAATACCCTAAAAATAACCTTTTATGGCCCAAATCTGCCATTAAATCACCTCTGGATGAGTTTTCTCCCCAAAAAGACCCTAAAAATGGATTTTTTATCCTGTTTTTGACCTTTAAATCGCCTCCAAATCATTTTTTCTCCTAAAAAAAGACCTTAAAAGCGGATTTTTAGCCTGTTTTTGACCATTAAATCACCTCCAAATCATTTTTCTCCTAAAAAAGACCCTAAAAGTGGACTTTTTAGCCCATTTTTGACCATTAAATCACTTCCAAAACGGTTTTTCTCCTGAAAAAGACCCTAAAAATGGACTTTTTAGCCCATTTTTGACCCTTAAATCGTCTCCAAATTGATTTTTCACCTAAAAAACACTCCAAAATCGACATTTTTTACCCTAAATCTGCCACTGAATCACCTCCACATCAATTTTCCCTTCTTAAAACACCCCCAAAATGGCCATTTTCAGCCCAAAATGCCTATTTCCCGGCCAAAACCACCTCAAAACGGACTTTTTGGCCCCTCGAATCACCCTTTCCCTCCAAAAAACACCCAAAACCGGACTTTTTCACCCCAAAATGAACATTCCCCCCCCCCCCCGGGTGAAATTTGGGGTGAAAAAGGGCAAAATTGGTCAAACTGGGGTGGTGGGACGAGGACTTACCGGAGGAGACGGTGACGACGGTGCCCTGGCCCCAGGAGTCGATCCAACCAGCAGTACCCCAATGATAGGAAACCAGTGCCCCCCCAGACAAAAACCCCTCCCCTGCCTCATTTTGGGGCTAAAACCTCCATTTTAACCAATTCGGGCCGATTTTCACTAAAAAAAGACCAAAAAGAACGAAATTCCGGCTGTTCCGGATGCCAAAATCGTCAAATTTGGTCCAAAACGTGAGAATTTTATGGTGAATTTGAAGTTTTCCCACCTCATGCTCCAAAGAATCGAGATTTTAGTGGTTTTCCCCCTAAAAATTGGAATAAAAAGGTGAAATAAGCCCCAAAATGGGGGTAAAATCGATCGAAATAAGACAAAACTTCATATTTTTGGTCATGAGGCATAAATTAAACGGGGAAAAAAGGGCAAAATTTGGGGGGGGGAAAGGGCAAAAATGGGACAGTTAAGAGGATATTGGACGGAAAATTGGCCAAAATGTGGAAAATTGGCCAAAACTTGGAAAATAACCCTGAAATTAAGGCAGAAATGGGTTTAAACTGCAAGAAAATGACAATTTTGGGGTGAAAAAGGGGGGTGGGAGTGAAATATCAGCATTTTGGTGGTTAAAAGTGGCTAAAAAGGGGAAAAAGGGCAAAAAAGGCATGGGTTTGGTGGGGAATTAGAGAGGAAGGGGAGAAATTGGGTTTGATTTGGGGCAAAAAGGGGCAAAAATGGGCAAAAATTTGGGGCAAAAAGGGCCGATTTTTGTCATGGTGTGCACCACTGTGATTAGCACCAGCACCCCAACCAGTACCAGCACCCACAGTGGTACAGACTGGGACAATATCCCCCTCTATGGGGCCGAGCTCACCCTCAAGCGCATCCAAAGGGTCCAAAGCTGCCCAAAATGGGCAGAAAATGGGGTTTTTAGCCCCAAAATCCCTCTTGTTTTAGGTCCGGATGGAGGTTTTAACCCGTTTCTCCATCAGAAGCATGGGGAGGAGGAGGAGGGCATCTGGAAAGGGATGAAGATAAGGATTGAGGGGGGAAATGGGGATAAAATGGGGAAAATGGGGATAAAAGGTGGGGAAATGGGGATAAAAGGTGGGAAATGGGGATAAAAGATGGGAAATGGGGATAAAAGGGGGAAAATGGGGATAAAAGGTGGGAAATGGGGATAAAAGGGGGAAAATGGGGATAAAAGAGGGGAAATGGGGATAAAAGGTGGGGAAATGGGGATAAAAGGAGGGGAAATGGGGATAAAAGGAGGGGAAATGGGGATAAAAGGAGGGGAAATGGGGATAAAAGCTCCCCATCTCCACCCAATGGATCTTGAACCCCCTCCAATGGGTCTTGACCCCCCTCCAATGGGTCCCCATCATCACCCACTGCCCCCCCCACCCCATTTCCCCTCCCCCCCCCCCCCCCCCAGGCACCACGCTCCAGCACCCCCCCATTAATGCCGGGGCCCCCCGTACCCCATCCCCACCGTGCCCACCCTTCCCACAGTAGTAAGTGCCCGCATCCCGCTCCGTGAGCCCGCTCAGCCGCAGCGTGACCGTGCCATGGGGGTTGTCCCTGCTGATGGAGGCCCTGCCCCACACCCCTGCCCCATAGCCGGTGCCACCCCCATTGGGGTCAATGGTAGCGACCCATTGGAGCCCCCGCCCCGGTGCTTGGCGCATCCAAGCCATGGGGTGGGAGGGGAAGGGGAAGCCCGAGGCCTTGCACAGGAGCCTCATGGAGCCCCCGGGCCTTTGGAGGCCGCCGCCGCTCTCCTCCAGCGTCACGGCCGCCCGCAGGGCTGCGAAGGGACAAGGAGGAGGCATTGAGAACACGGGGACCAATCACAACCCCGCCCGCATCCCCGCGGACCAATCAGATCCCTGCCCGCATCCCCGCGGACCAATCGCAAGCCAGTCGCCGTCGATGGGTGTTACCTGGGATGGAGGCCAGCAGGAGGAGGAGGAGGATGGGGAAGGCCATGGTGGTGGTGGTGGTGGTGGTGATGGGGAGCACTGGTTATGAAGGGAATGGGGTTTGCATAGGGGGAGGGGGGGTTAAGAAAGGGGGCGGGGTTGTGGGGTAATGGGGTGGGATTAATGGGGGGGGTGATTAATCGTTTAATTACATGTGGGATTAATGGTGGATTAATTAATTGATTGATGGGGAAATAGGCATGGGGTTGATGGCACATTGATTAATCCATTAATTGGGATTGGAATCGATTGGGAAATAGGCATGGGGTTGATGGCACATTGATTAATCAATGAATTGGGACCGGGTATGGAAGTATCAATTCGTTAATTGATTAATTGGGAAATCCACATGGAATTAATGGTAGATTAATGGATTAACGGTGATAGCAGCGTGGAATTAATGGGAAATTAATTAATTAATGATTTGTGGTGTCCACACAGAACTAATGGCAGTTTAATTAATGAATTAATTAATTAATTGTGATTGTGATGTGGAATTAATTGCAGTTTAATTAGTTAATTAATCGTGATAGCAATATGGAGCCGATGGCAGATTAATTAATTAATTAATTGTGGTATCGACATGGGATTAATTGCAGTTTAATTAGTGAATTAATCGTGATAGCAATGTGGAGCCGACAGCAGATTAATTAATTAATTCATTATGCTATGGGCATGCAATTAATTGCAGATTCATTAATCGACTGTGATCACGACATGGAATCGATTGAGGGTGAATTAATTAATTGACAGTTATAACGCCAGGGAATTAATGGCATATTAATTAATTAATTAATTGATTACGATCTCGACGTTGAATTAACGGCAGATTAATTAATCGATTGAGATAGCAACAAGGGATTAATTGTGGATTCATTAATTAATTGTGATCTGGATGTGGGATTAATTGCCGATTAATTAATGGATTGTGCTATCGATGCGGTATTAATTGCGGATTAATTCATTAATTAATCACAACTCCTTAATCTAGCAATGATCAATCTAGCTATCAAACTAGCTATCAATTAATAGTGATTTATTCACCAGTTTTAATGGTTTAATGGGAATTTCAGGGAGTTTTGGGAAATGGGTCTTAATAAACTCCTAATTAATTAATTAATTAGATAATTTTATATATTGATTGATTCAGTATTTGTATTTTACAAAAATCCCTATGTTTGCCTCAAATATTTATACATTTAATTCGATCCTATATTGCTTTTTATCCCCTTAATCTATTTTTAATAACATAATTAATTAATTCCCGTTTATTAACCATTATTAAGACATACCAATTACTATTATTACCAACGTTTAATCATTATTAACAATGTTTAATGCTTAATAATACACGGTTGATTAATAGAAACTTCATGTATTTACACTCATTGAGCAGATACATTAATCCATTTCCTCTCATTAATTCTATTTATTAATCTATTTACACTCATTAATTAAATACATTATTTACTCTCATTAAATTCCCGATTAATTGATATCAATACTAATCCGATATTAATTTATATCTGACCCTTTGACACATGACATTTGAATCGCAGCTGTTTATGATTGCGATGCCTTTTATATGGGTCAATTAATTAATTAATTAATTAATTAATTAATTAATGGGGGCCCCATGGGGCTTCGTGGCAGCTGCTTCCTTCATTAAAGGACGAATGGGGAGGCCCCATGGGGCCCTATGGGGGGTGGTGTGGGTCACAACAAGCCTTAATATAGAGCCTGAGGCTGCCTTCGTTAATGCATTAATTAATAGGGACCCTTAATTGCAATCAGTGCAGGGCCCTCATCATGGACCCAAATCTAAATGAATTGACCCCAAATCTGCATCCATTGACCCAAATCTTCATCCATGGACCCAAATCTTCATGAATTGACCCAAATCTTCATGAATTGACCCAAATCTCCATCCATGGACCCAAATCTTCATCCTTTGACCCCAAATCTTCATCCATGGACCCAAATCTTCATCCATGGACCCAAATCTTCATCCATTGACCCAAATCTTCATCCTTTGACCCCAAATCTTCATCCATGGACCCAAATCTGCATCCATGGACCCAAATCTTCATCCATTGACCCAAATCTTCATGAATTGACCCAAATCTTCATCCATGGACCCAAATCTTCATGAATTGACCCCAAATCTTCATCCATGGACCCCAATCTCCATCCATGGACCCCAATCTCCATCCATGGACCCCAATCTCCATCCATGGACCCCAATCCTCATCCATGGACCCCAATCTCCATCCATGGACCCAAACCTCCATAGGTTTCCCCCAACCAGTCCCCATTGTCTCCCTATGGGCCCTTCCCCACATCCACAGAGCCACCCTCACCCCCAGGTAGGACCCGGACCCATTGATGGGGATGGGGACAGGAGGGTTGTGATTGATTGGTCCATGGGGATGCGGGCAGGGATCTGATTGGTCCGTGGGGATGCTGCTGCGGTTGTGATTGGGCCTCCAAAGGCCCGGGGGCTCCATGAGGCTCCTGTGCAAGGCCTCGGGCTTCCCCTTCGGCAACTACGGCATGGGATGGATGCGCCAAGCACCTGGGCAGGGGCTCGAGTACGTCGCTGGCATTAACAGCAATGGTGGTAGCACCTGGTATGGGGCACCATAACCACCATAACCAGTACCACCAGTACCACCAGTACCACCAGCACTCTTCCCACAGTAGTAAGTGCCCGTGTCCTGCTCCGTGAGGCCGCTCATCTGCAGCGTGACCGTGCCCTGGGGGTTGTCCCTGCTGATGCTGGCTCTGCCCCACACCCCTGCCCCATAGCCGGTGCCACCTCCATTGCTGTTAATGGTAGCGACCCATTGGAGCCCCTGCCCCGGTGCTTGGCGCATCCAGGCCATGGCGTAGGAGCCAAAGGGGAAGCCCAAATCCTCATCCATGGACCCCAATCTCCATCCATGGACCCCAATCTCCATCCATGGACCCCAATCTCCATCCATGGACCCCAATCTCCATCCATAGACCCCAATCTCCATCCATGGACCCCAATCCTCATCCATGGACCCCAATCCTCATCCATGGACCCCAATCCTCATCCATGGACCCCAATCTCCATCCATGGACCCCAATCTCCATCCATGGACCCCAATCCTCATCCATTGACCCCAATCTCCATCCATGGACCCAAACCTCCACAGGTTCCCCCCCAACAGCCCCCATTGGCTCCCTATGGGCCCTTCCCCACATCCACGGAGCCACCCTCCCCCCCAGGTAGGACCTGGACCCATTGATGATGATGGGGGTGGGATTGGTCTATGGTGATGCTGATGGGGATGGGGTTGGGGTTGGGATTGGTCCATGGGGATGCTGACGGGGTTGGGATTGGTCCATGCTGATGGGGATGGGGATGGGATTGGTCCATGTGGATGGGGATGGGGATGGGACTGGTCCATGGGGATGCTGATAGGGATGGGGATGGGATTGGTCCATGATGATGCTGATGCGGATGGGGATGGGATTGGTCCATGCTGATGGGGATGGGGATGGGATTGGTCCATGCTGATGGGGATGGGGATGGGATTGGTCCATGGGGATGCGGGCAGGGATCTGATTGGTCCGCGGGGATGCGGGCAGGGTTGTGATTGGTCCCCGTGCCCTCAATGCCTCCTCCTTGTCCCTTCGCAGCCCTGCGGGCGGCCGTGACGCTGGAGGAGAGCGGCGGCGGCCTCCAAAGGCCCGGGGGCTCCATGAGGCTCCTGTGCAAGGCCTCGGGCTTCCCCTTCGGCTCCTACGGCATGGGATGGATGCGCCAAGCACCGGGGCAGGGGCTCCAGTTCGTCGCTGGCATTAACAGCAATGGAGGTAGCACCTGGTACGCGCCATCGGTGAAGGGCAGAGCCAGCATCAGCAGGGACAACCCCCAGGGCACGGTCACGCTGCAGATGAGCGGCCTCACGGAGCAGGACACGGGCACTTACTACTGTGGGAAGAGTGCTGGTGGTGGTGCTGGTGGTACTGGTGGTACTGGTTATGGTGGTGCTGATGGTGTACACATAGCCAGCACCATAACCACCATAACCCCCATAACCATCAGAACCACCATAACCATCATAACCAGCACCATACCCACCATAACCAGCACCATAACCCCCATAACCATCATAATCACCATAATCAGCACCATAACCATCACCATAACCACCATAGGTTTAATTATCAACCGTAACATAGCAGGGATGGAGAATACATCGAATTATTAGCCTAATAATGCTAATTATTAGGCCTAATAGGATTAATTACTAGCCCTAATATGGCGGGGATGGGGGATGAATTTATTATAAGCCCTAATGTTTCTCTTTATTAGCCCTAATACAGCAAAAATGGGGGATAAATAGAATTATTAGCCTAATAAAGTCAATCATTAGGCTTAATAGGCTTAATCATTACCCCTAATATAGCGGGGATGGGGGACGAATTAACCATAGGCCATAATGCTCGTATTTATTAGCCCTAATACAGTGGTAATGAGGGATAAACGGAATTATTAGCCTAAAAATGTTAATTATTAGCCCTAATGGACTTAATTATTGGCGCTAATGGAGTGTGGGTGAGGGATAAATGTAATAACAACCCCTAATGGTTTTATTTATTGGCCCTACTACGGTGGGAATGGTGGATAAATCGAATCATTAGCCTAATACACTTAACTATTAGCCCTAATAGGCTTAATAATTAGCCCTAATTCAGTGGAGAACGAATGACAAGCCTAATAAAGTTAATTATTAGCCCTAATAGGCTTAATTATTGCCCCCAGTTTAGCGGGGTTGGGGGACGAATGTACTTGGGAACCAGATAAAGCCAATTATTAGCCCTAATAGGCTCAATAATCAGCCCTAATTCGGTGGGCATGGGGGATAAATCGCACCCTAAACCTAACGAACTCAATTATTAGCCCTAATGACCCCCGTTATTAGCTCTCAGTTAGGGGGCCGGGGGCCGTTATTAGCCCTAATAGACTCCATTATTAGCCCTAATGACCCCCATTAGCTCTCATTAGGCTGGGTTATTAGCCCTTAGATCCATTATTAGCCCTAATGACCCCCGTTATTAGCTCTCAGTTAGGGGGCCGGGGGCCGTTATTAGCCCTAATAGACTCCATTATTAGCCCTAATGACCCCCGTTATTAGCTCTCAGTTAGGGGGCCGGGGGCCGTTATTAGCCCTAATAGACTCCATTATTAGCCCTAATGACCCCCGTTATTAGCTCTCAGTTAGGGGGCCGGGGGCCATTATTAGCCCTAATAGACTCCATTATTAGCCCTAATGACCCCCGTTATTAGCTCTCAGTTAGGGGGCCGGGGGCCGTTATTAGCCCTAATAGACTCCATTATTAGCCCTAATGACCCCCGTTATTAGCTCTCAGTTAGGGGGCTGGGGGCCGTTATTAGCCCTAATAGACTCCATTATTAGCCCTAATGACCCCCGTTATTAGCTCTCAGTTAGGGGGCCGGGGGCCGTTATTAGCCCTAATAGACTCCATTATTAGCCCTAATGGGGGGGTTCACGCTTGTCCTGCCCCCGAAACTCAGGTGCCGAGAGCAGGTGCTGGGACCAAGGGGCCGAAAGCCGCAGCCGGGGCCTATTTTTGGGCTGAAAAAGGCCCTTTTTGGGGTTTCGGGGCCCTTCGTGGTTAATTTTGGCAGCAGCAGCTGCGCGGGAAAACCCCAAAACGGGCGGGTTTGGCCCCAAAAAGGGGCCGGCGCGGACGGGACCGTCGCTCCTGGGTGATCGCTATTAGCGCTATTAATTGGGCTCGATTAATGCTAATAATTGCCATAAATCGACGGGGTTTTGTTGATTATTAACGGTATTAATTGCTGTTTTTCGCTTTATTTGATGGGAATCGCTGTTTTTTAGGGGTAATACTCACCAATTCGCCGGATTTAGACCCATTATCCGGTCCTCCTATGACCCCGCTCCTTTATTCCCTATTCTTTTAGCGTATTAATCTATTATTTCTACTTATTAGCCGATTATTTGGGTACGAAAATAACTATTATTAGCTCCATTAGTCTCTTTTCTTGCTCTTATTCTGGTTTTAGTATTAATATTAGCATCGGTATTAGTGTTTGCGTTATTAGTACCGTTTATTAGCATTATTATCGTTAACAGTGTTAAATAATTGTTTAATTACCATTAATCTCCCTGTTTTATCGCGATATTTTCATTAATAGCACTAAAACAATGATATATCGTTATTTTATCAATAATAAAGATTATTATTATTATAATATTAGAAATAACGGGGTTTACATGAGGAATTAACAGGTTTCTATTAGAAATGATTCGTTTCTATTGTACATCATTAGGTTTCTATTAATTATTAGAAGCACTTATTAGCGTTAGAAAGCGATCTCGCTTTATTAATGGGAATTAATGAGGAGGAATTGCCCTTTATGGCGATTCTTAGAAGGAAAATGCCTGCATTATTGGCGTTTATTCGCTATTTTATAGGTGTGTTAGGCGTTTATTAGCTGGAATTTTATCATTATTTACCGTTAAAATGGAGGGGGGGGGCTGTGGGGAGCGGCGCTCGGCTCGCCTCACAAAATGGCGCCTTAATCTGCCTAGCAACGCGCTCCGATTGGCTGCGGGGCGCGGCGAGGGGCGTGGCCTCGGCGGGGAAGCCGGAAGAGCCTCCCCTCCCTCCTCCCCGTCTCCTTGGCAACCGCGCCGTCGCCCGTGGCAACCGCGGGGCTCGCCCTTAGCGACGCCGCCATTTCCCTTAGCAACGGGCTCCGGGTGGGCGTGAGGTGAGGGGGGACGGGGGTTTGGGGGGGTTCGTGAGGGGGGAAGATGGGGTTGGGGGGGGGTCCCGGCCTCACTTGGGGGGTCCTAGGACTCACTTGGGGGTCGTAGGCCTCATTTGGGGGGGGTAGGCCCAGGTAGGCCGCGGGGTTGTGGGGGGGGCCGCGGTCCTTTGGGGTCTATGGGGGGGGGTTAAGAGGATGTTGGGGTCACCCCGTTTACCTCACGCCTTGCTTTAGGTGCTCTAAAGAAGCCCCGATTGAGAGAGACGCCCCCCCCCCCGTCATTAAGGTAAGAAAGGTGCCCCAAAAATAAGGGGTTTGAACCCAAAAGGGAGGGATTTACGTCAAAAGCGAGGGATTTATCGCCCCGAATTGTGGTTTTCAGCCCCAAAATGGGGGGGTAACCCCCCGAAATAAGCTTGGTTGTGGCTGTTGTTTGATTAACACCCCCCCCCCCAAGGGTTGAACCCACCCAAATCAGGATAACCAGCCCCAAAATAAGGGTAAAAGTATCCAAAAGAGGTGGTTTAGCCCCAAAAATGAAGGCCAAATGATGAAAAAACCCTCAAAACCCTCAGGTTTTACCTTAAAAGGGTTTAAGGCCCCAAACCAGGGATTTAATGCCCTAAAACAGGGAATTTAGGCCCCAAAATAAGGGGTTTGTGCCCCAAAATAAGGGGTTTGTGCCCTAAAATAGGGACTAAAGCACCCAAAACAAAAGAGGTGCCCCCCAAATATAAAGATACCACCCCAAAAAATCAGCTCCCCTCAAGAAAATGGCTATAAATGCTTAAAATAGGCCTAAAAAGCCCCCAAAATAGGTGTTTTGACCCCAAATTGGGTTTAAAACTCCCAAAATAGGGGTTTTTACAACAAAATACGGATTTAAACCCCCCAAAATAGGGATTTGAACCCCCAAATGGGGTTTTAAACCCACCAAAAGAGGGTTTTTAACCCCAAATCAGGGTTTTTAAACCCCCAAATTGAGATTTAACCCCCAAAATAGAGATTTAAACACCCCCAAAATAGGGTTTTTAACCCAGAAATAGGGGTTTAAACCCCCAAAGTAGGCCTTGCACCCCAAAATAGGGATTTTAATCCCCAAAATACGGTTTTTAACCCCAAAAGAGAGATTTAAACCCCTAAAATAGGGATTTGAACCACCCCAAAAGGGTTTTTAACCCCCAAAATAGGGATTTTAACCCCCAAAAAAGGGTATTAAACCCCCAAAATAGGGATTTAAACCCCCAAAATAGCGATTTAAACCCACAAAATAGGGTTTTTATCCCCCAAATAGGGGTTTTAACCCAAAAATAGGGATTTAAACTCCCCAAAATGGGTTTTAAACCCCCAAAATAGTGATTTAAACCCACAAAAATGGGATTTAAACCCCCAAAATAGGGATTTAAACCCCCAAAATAGGGATTTAAACCTCCCCAAATAGGGTTTTTATCCCCAAAATAGGGGTTTTATCCCCAAAATAGGGGTTGAAACCCCCCGAAAATGAGACTAATTCCCCCCAAAACGGTATTTAAGCCCCCAAAGAAGTTGCTATTCCCCTAAAATAAGTAAAACAAGGATAAATCAGCCTCAAATAAGGACAAATCACCCTAAAATAAGGCTGAATAAACCTAAAATAAAGATCTACACACCTAAAATAAGGATAAATGCCCCCAAAATTCATTTAAAACCCCCAAAAGAAGCTTATTCACCCCAAAACTGCAAGTTTAATACCCCGGAAGTGGGTTTAAATCTCCCAAAATGATGTTTCTTACCCCAAAACCCCCTTTAGACCCCCCCAAAACCCCTTTTCCCCCCATTTTCACCCCAAAACTCCCCCTCCCCTTAATGACGTCATCATAGGGGGGGCTCCCCCCCCCTTTACATCCGCCTAGGTCCCCTCCTCTTCCTCCTATGGGGTGGGGGGGGGCACCCAGGGGACCCCCATAGGAATGGCTGAGCCTGGAGGTGGGACCCCCCCTTATCCATCCCTTTTGGGGGGGGGGAAGGTCGTTTTGGGGTGAAAAAGGGGGATTTTGGGGCTGGAAATGGGGATTTGAGTGGAGAAATGTGGATTTGGGGGTTGATGGTCGTTTTGGGGTGAAAAAGGGGGAGTTTGGGGCTGGACATGTCGTTTGGGGTGAAAAATGAGGATTTTGGGGGGGAAACGTTGTTTTTGGGGGTGTAATAGTGATTTGGCTGTGAAACGATGCTTTTTTGTGGGGAAAATGGTGATTTTGGGGGGAAAACTGTGATTTTGGGGGGTTAATGGTGATTTTTGAGGTGAAAAAAGGTGATTTTGGGGCTTAGTGGTGCTTTGGGGGCAGTGATGTTGATTTGGGGCGAAAAACAGGGATTTTGGGGGTTAATGGTGGTTTTTGTGGGGGAAAAGGTGATTTTGGAGTGGAAAATGTCAGTTTTTTTGGGGGGGATAATTGTGGTTTTGGTGATTTTGGGCCTAAACCCCCTAGTTTTGGGCCTAAACCACCTAATTTCGGGGTCAAACAACTGCTTTTTGGAGTTGAAACCTTAATGTGGGGGGTAACCCCCCTGATTTTGGGCTTAAACCCCCTAATTTTGGGCCTAAACCCCCTAATTTTGGGTCTAAACCCCCTACTTTTGGGCTTAAACCACCTAATTTTGGGGTCAAACAACTGCTTCTTGGGGTGGAAACCTTAATTTTGGGTCTAAACCCTCTACTTTTGGGCCTAAACCACCTACTTTTGGGCCTAAACCACCTAATTTCGGGTATAAACCACCTAAATTTGGGCCTAAACCACCTAAATTTGGGCCTAAACCCCCTACTTTTGGGCTTAAACCACCTAATTTTGGGGTCAAACAACTGCTTCTTGGGGTGGAAACCTTAATTTTGGGTCTAAACCCTCTACTTTTGGGCCTAAACCACCTACTTTTGGGCCTAAACCACCTAATTTCGGGTATAAACCACCTAAATTTGGGCCTAAACCACCTAAATTTGGGCCTAAACCCCCTACTTTTGGGCTTAAACCACCTAATTTTGGGGTCAAACAACTGCTTCTTGGGGTGGAAACCTTAATTTTGGGTCTAAACCCTCTACTTTTGGGCCTAAACCACCTACTTTTGGGCCTAAACCACCTAATTTCGGGTATAAACCACCTAAATTTGGGCCTAACCCCCCTCCTTTCCTGTCTCCCCCATCCCATTCCCCCCCCCCCATGCTCCCAGCTCCCCCCCCCACCATGGACTCGGACCCACAGCGCCCGCCCCACAGCCCCCCCCACCCCTTGCCCTCCCCATTGAACCTGCCCTTGATCCTGGAGGAGCTCCGCGTCCTGCAGCAGCGCCAGCTCCACCAGCTCCAGCTCACCGAGGACATCTCCCGCCAGCTCCTCCTCCTGGGCACCCTGCACGCCCTGCCCCACAAGGCCCCCTTCCTGCCCCACCGCTGCCCCATAGCCCACAGCCGCTGCGCCCCGTCCCGCGCCGCTGGCAAGGGTCAGCGACAGCGCCCCACGCTTGTGGGGCTGGGGCCGCTGCCTGCGCAGCACGGGGGGCGGGGGGGACTGGGGGGGGGGGTGGGGAAGGGGGCGGAGGGGAATGGGGGCAACCAAGTGCTCAATGGGGGCAACCAAGTCAATGGGGGCAACCAAGCGCTCAATGGGGGCAACCAAGTCAATGGGGCCAAGCAAGTCAATAGGAGCAACCAGCCACTCAATGGGGGCAACCAAGCGCTCAATGGGGGCAACCAAGTCAATGTGAGCAACCAACCGCTCAATGGGGGCAACCAACTGCTCAACAGAGGCAACCAAGTCAATGGGAGCAACCAATCACTCCATGGGGGCAAGCAAGTCAATGTGGGCAACCAAGCACTCAATAGGGGCAACCAAGTCAATAGGAGCAACCAGCCACTCCATGTGGGCAACCAAGTCAATGGGAGCGACCAGCAACTCAATGGGGGCAACCAAGTCAATAGGAGCAGCCAATCACTCCATGGGGGCAACCAAGTCAATGGGGGCAAGCAAGTCAATAGGAGCACCCAGCCACTCAATGGGGGCAACCAAGTCAATGGGGGCAACCAACCACTCCATGGGGGCAACCAAGTCAACGGGGGCAACCAACCACTCCATGGGGGCAACCAAGTCAACAGGAGCAACCAATCACTCAATGGGGGCAACCAAGTCAACGGGGGCAACCAAGTCAATGTGGGCAACCAGCCACTCAATGGGGGCAACCAAGTCAATAGGAGCAACCAAGTCAACAGGGGCAACCAACCACTCAGTGGGGGCCACCAAGTCAGTGGGAGCAACCAAGTCAATGGAGGCAACCAACAGGTCAATGGAGGCAACCAAGTCAATGGGAGCAACCAAGTCAATAGGAGCAACCAACAGGCCAATGGGGGCAACCAGCCACTCAATGGGGGCAACCAAGTCAATGGAGGCAACCAAGCGCTCAATGGGGGCAGCCAAGTCAATGGAGGCAACCAACCGCTCAATGGGGGCAACCAAGTCAATGGAGGCAACCAACCGCTCAATGGGGGCAACCAAGTCAACAGGAGCAACCAACCGCTCAATGAAGGCAACCTAATCAACGGGGGCAACCAACATGTCAGTGTGGGCAACCAACCACTCAATGGGGGCAACCAAGTCAATGGGGGCAACCAACAGGTCAATGGAGGCAAGCAAGTCAATGGGGGCAACCAAGAGGTGACCGTGGCCCCTCACCGTGGCATTGTGGCTGCTCAAGAGGTCAATGGGAGCCCCCAGGAAGTGAAGGTGGGTGCCCAGCATCATGGTGGGGCCGGCCATGGCCATGGGGGCACCCAACTGGGCAACGTGGGCAAGCAACAAGGCAATGGGGACAGCCAGCAAGTCAATGGGAGCAGCCAGCAAGTCAATGGGAGCACCCAAGAGGTCAACATGGACACCCAGCAAGTCAATGGGAGCACCCAGCAGGTCAATGGGAGCCCCATTCAAGTCAATGGGAGCACCCAGCAAGTCAATGGGAGCCCCATTCAAGTCAATGGGAGCACCCATCAAGTCAATGGGAGCACCCAGCAGGTCAATGGGAGCACCCAAGAGGTCAACATGGACACCCAGCAAGTCAATGGGAGCACCCAACAGGTCAATGGGAGCACCCAACAAGTCAATGGGAGACCCATTCAAGTCAATGGAAGCACCCATCAAGTCAATATGGACACCCAACAAGTCAACCCAAGCACCCATGAGGTCAATGGGGGAGCCCCAGTCAATGGGGGCACCCATCAAGTCAATGGGAACCCCATTCCAGTCAACGGGAACCCCATTCCAGTCAATGGGAGCCCCATTCAAGTCAACGAGAGCACCCATCAAGTCAATGGGAGCACCCATGAGGTCAATGGGAGCCCCATTCAAGCCAATGGGAGCCCCATTCCAGTCAATGGGAGCACCCAACAAGCCAATGGGAGCACCCAAGTCAATGGGAGCACCCATCAAGCCAATGGGAGCCCCATTCAAGCCAATGGGAGCCCCATTCAAGTCAACGGGAGCCCCATTCAAGCCAATGGGAGCCCCATTCAACCCAATGGGAGCCCCATTCAACCCAATGGGAGCCCCATTCCAGCCAATGGGATCCCCATTCAACCCAATGGGAGCCCCATTCCAGCCAATGGGAGCCCCCCCCTCACCCTCGCCGCCTTCCCCAAGCTGCGGCTGCTGTCGGGGGCCAATGGGTGCAAGGGGGGCCCTGCCCCCACCCCATCATGGCCGCTCTTCCTCCCCTCCCCCCCCCCATCATCATCCCCATTGACGTCAATGGGAGCCCAATGGCAGCCGTGGGGGGGGCCCCCCCCCGCCCCCTGCCCCCCTCTGGGCCCGGAGAGGGGGGAGGGGCAGGAGGCACCAGGAGGAGGAGGAGGAAGGGAGGAGGAAGGGGAGGTAAGAGGGGGATGGGGGAGGGGAAGGGGGGTGGGGGGGGATTGGGGGGAAAAAATTGGGGTAAATTTGGGGGATTTGGGTGGGATTTGAGTGGAATTTGGGGGAAATTTGGGTGGGAATTGGGGGAAATTGGGGGAAATCGGAAATTTGGGGAATTTGGGGTGGATTTGGGGAAAATTGGGGAAATTTGGGGGAAATTTGGGTGGGTTTTGAGTGGTATTTGGGGGAAATATGGGTGGGATTTGGGGGAAATTTGGGGAAAATTGGGGGAAATTTGGATGGGATTTGAGTGGAGTTTGGGGGAAATTTGGGGGAAATATGGGTGGGATTTTGGGGAAAATTGGGGGGAAATTTGGGGGAAATTCGGGTGGAAATCTAAGGGAAATTGGGGAAATTGTGGGGAATTGGAGGGAATTTCGGGAAAATTGTGGGGAAAATGAAGGAATTTGGGTGGAAATTGGGAAAAAACTGGGAAAATGGTGAAATTTCGGGAAAATCCCTTGGGAATAAAGGGAAAAGGGGGGGCAATGGGGGGAAACTGAGGCACAGCAGCACTGACCCCCCCCTTCCTCTCCCCACAGGCCCCAATGGAGCAGGACCCCCCCATGGATGTGGAAGGGGACCAGTAGGACAATGGGGGGTGATGGAGACCCCCCTGCACCCCATCCCCCCCCCCATAACCATAGATTAGGCCATTAAAGCCATTAAACAGCCCCTCCCCCCCCGCTGGGCTTATTTTGGGGGTGGGGGGGGGCTTCTCAGGGTACAAAATGGCGGCCGTTGCCACGGAGACGATGCGCAAGATGGCGGCGGTTGCTATGGAGATAGTGGATAACATTCAAGATGGCGGCGGTCGCTATGGAGATCTAGGTAGCATTCAAGATGGCGGCGGTCGCTATGGAGATGGGGGATAACATTCAAGATGGCGGCGGTCGCTATGGAGATCTATGTAGCATTCAAGACGGCGGCGGTCGCTATGGAGATAGTGGATAACATTCAAGATGGCGGCGGTCGCTATAGAGATCTAGGCAGCATTCAAGATGGCGGCGGTCGCTATGGAGCTCTAGATAGCATTCAAGATGGCGGCGGTTGGTATGGAGACAGGCGATAACATTCAAGATGGCGGCGGTCGCTATGGAGATAGGGGAGCGCGGCCGTTGCCATGGCGATACGCGACAGCCCTCAAGATGGCGGCTGTCGCGAAAGAGACGGCGTAAAGCGGCTGCACCCTCTCTAAAGATGGCGACCGTTGCCATGACGATAAGCGCCAGCTTCAAAAATGGCGGTCGTTGCTATGACGATAAGCGCCAGCCCTCAAGATGGCGGCTGCCGTTACTGAGGCGCTGCCAGCTCTAAAGATGGCGGCCCGTTGCCATGACGATCCGCCTTCCCCAGCGGTCACTTCCGCTTCCGGCTCCGTGAGGGGAAGGCGGCGGGGCCTACCCCGGTTAGGCCGCATCCCGGGATCGCAGAGGCCCGATCCCGTTGATCCCGGTGCCCGATCCCGTTGATCCCGGTGCCGGCGCCATGTCGGACACGTGGAGCTCCATCCAGGCCCATAAGAAGCAGCTGGATTCGCTGCGGGAGCGGCTGCAGCGGCGGAGGAAGCAGGACCCGCTGGGTGATTAACGGGGGGGGTTAATGAGGGGTAATTAAGGGGTTAATGAGGGGGGAATGGTGTTAATGAGGGTAAGGGGGCGATTAATGGGGTTAATGAGGGGTAAGGGGGTGATTAATGTGGTTAGTGAGGGGGAATGGGGCAAATAATGGGGTTAATGAGGGGGAATGGGGGAATTAATGGGGTTAATGAGGGGCAAGGGGGTGATTAATGTGGTTAATGAGGGTAAGGGGGTAATTAATGGCGTTAATGAGGGGGAATGGTGCAATTAATGGGGTTAATGAGGGGGAATGGGGTAATTAATGGGGTTCATGAGGGGGAATGGGGGAATTAATGGGGTTAATGAGGGGGAATGGGGAATTAAGTGGGTTAATGAGGGGGAATGGGGAATTAAGTGGGTTAATGAGGGGGAATGGGGAATTAATGGGGTTAATGAGGGGGAATGGGGGAATTAATGGGGTTAATGAGGGGGAATGGGGCAATTAATGGGGTTAATGAGGGGGAATGGGGTAATTAATGGGGTTAATGAGGGGGAATGGTGTTAATGAGGGGGAATGGGGGAATTAAGGGGGTTAATGAGGGGGAATGGGGCAATTAATGGGGTTAATGAGGGGGAATGGGGAATTAATGGGGTTAATGAGGGGGAATGGGGAATTAATGGGGTTAATGAGGGGGAATGGGGCAATTAATGGGGTTAATGAGGGGTAAGGGGGTAATTAATGGGGTTAATGAGGGGGAATGGGGGAATTAAGTGGGTTAATGAGGGGTAAGGGGGGAATTAATGGGGTTAATGGGGTTAATTAAGGGGTTTAATGAGGTAAATGGGATTAATGAGGATTAATTAAGAGGCTAATGGCCATTAATGAGGGCTAATGGCAATTGATAAGGATAATTATGGGGGTTAATGGCCCTGAATAGCATTAATTAGGGGGTTTATAGCCATTAATGGGGTTTAATGGCAATTAATACGGTTAATTGGGGGGTTAAGGGGGTTAGTGGTTTTAATTACAGGGTTTATAGCCATTAATGGGGTTTAATGTCAATAAGGTTAATTAGGGGGGTTAAGGGGGTTAATGGCTTTAATTAGGGGCTTAATGGCCCTTAATGAGGCTTAAATGCCCTCACTGGGGGGTCCTGGCTTAATGAGGGTGTTCATTAACCCCTATTAATGAGCCCCTCCCCGTCTTCCCCCCAGACCCCACCCCCCCTCGCACCTCCAGCCCGGCCCCTCCACCTCCCTCCTCCTCCTCCCCCCCTCCCTCCTCCTCCTCCTCAGTGACGTCATCGCTGACGTCATCCTCGCGCCGCCCCGCCCCCGATGACGTCACCGCCTGCGACCCCGCCCTCGAGCGCCGCCTCCTCCTCCTCCTCGCCGACCCCCCCCTCCCGCTGCCGGCCGACGCCGAGGCCCTCTGCCGCGTCATGGCCGCCGTGAGTGACGTCACTTCCTGCCGCGGCGGCCATCTTGGGGTCACCACTTCCTGCCTTCCTGTCTTATAGGCAGCTATAGAAGGGGTCTATGGGGGGGGCGTGGTTAATGTATGATGACATCATCTCCATAGATGGGGTTTATTCGTCCCTATAGGATGACATCACCTCCATAGATGGGGTTCTATTGGTCCCCATAGGATGCCGCCATTCCCTCAAAGGGGGGCGTGGCCTGATGACCTCCCATTGCCCCGCCCACAGGATGACGTCACGGCCCCGCCCCCGCCCCGGCACGCCGTTGAGAGCCTCCTGCAGAAGTTTGCGGCCCAGGAGCTCATCGAGGTGCGCCGGGGGCTCTTAGCCCCGCCCACCGATGACGTCATTTCCGGCTCCGCCCCCATCATGGTGGTGACCTACGCCGACCGCTCCAAGCTGAGCGCCATGATGATGACGTCACCGCCGGCGGCGGCGGGGGGGAGGAGGAGGAAGGCGGAGCAAGATGGCGGCGTTGCCACGGCGACGATGGGGGAAGGAGGAGGAGGAGGGGAAGGGAAGGAGGGGGTGAAGAGAGCGCGCAAGATGGCGTCGGACGTGGACCTGGAGATCGAGAGCCTCCTGAGTCAGCAGTCCACTAAGGAGCAGCAGAGCAAGAAGGTAGGGGGGACAAGATGGCCGCCGGGGGGGGGGGAACGCGTATACAAGATGGCCGCCGTGGGGGGGACACATATACAAGATGGCCGCCGGGGAGGGGGGGGAACGCGTACACAAGATGGCCGCCGTGGGGGGGACACATATACAAGATGGCCGCCGTGGGGGGGGGACACATATACAAGATGGCCGCCATGGGGACACACATTTAAGATGGCCGCCGTGGGACACACACTCACATATCCAAGATGGCCGCCGTGGAGACACACATCCAAAATGGCCGCCATGGGGGAGGCACATATCCAAAATGGCCGCCATAGGGGAGACACATACCCAAGATGGCCGCCATCAGGACATATATCCAAGATGGCCGCCATGGGGGAGACACATATTCAAGATGGCCGCCATCAGGACATATATCCAAGATGGCCGCCATGGGGGAGACACAGGTCCAAGATGGCCGCCATGGGGGCACATATCCAAGATGGCCGCCATGTGGGAGGCACATATCCAAGATGGCCGCCATGGGGGGCACATATCCAAGATGGCCGCCATGGGGGGGCACATATCCAAGATGGCCGCCAGGGGGGGCACATATCCAAGATGGCTGCCATCAGGACACATATCCAAGATGGCCTCCATGGGGGAGGCACATATCCAAGATGGCCGCCACGGGGGACACACATCCAAGATGGCAGCCATGGGGGGCAGACATATCTAAGATGGCTGCCATGAGGAGGACACATCCAAGATGGCCGCCATGGGAAGGGGATACATGGTCAATGGGGATCCATCAATGGGGATCCATGAATGGGGTCTCTGGGGCTGTGTCTATGGGGCAGGGCTGTGTCTATGGGGCAGGGCTGTGTCTCCCTATGGGGCAGGTGAGCCAGGAGATCCTGGAGCTGCTCCACAGCACCACGGCCAAGGAGCAATCCATGGTGGACAAGTTCCGGTCCCGGGGCCGGGCCCAGGTCCAGGAGTTCTGCGAGCACGGGACCAAGGAGGAGTGCGTGAGGGGGAGCGGGGGGCAGAGGCCCTGCCCGAGGCTGCACTTCCGGTGAGGGGGGAGGGGCGACGGGGGGAGGGGCAGCAATGGGGGGAGGGGCATCTATGGGGAGGGATCCATAGGGACACCCATAGACCTATAGGGATACCCATAGACCCATAGGGATACCCATAACGACATGGAGATACCCATAGGGACACCAATAGACCCATAGGGACACCAATAGACCCATAGGGACACCCATAGACCCATAGGGATGTCCATAGGGATGTCCATAGACCCATAGATCCATGTTCTCCACCCATAGACCCATAGACCCATGTTCTCCACCCATAGACCCACATTCTCCACCCACAGACCCACAGCTCCATCTCCCTATTACCAAACACCCCCAAACGGCCCCAAAACCCCCTGGTTTCACCCCAAAACCCCCCCTCCTGCCCCATAGCCGCATCATCAACAAGCACACGGACGAGTCCCTTGGGGACTGCTCCTTCCTCAACACCTGCTTCCATATGGACACCTGCAAGTACGTGCACTACGAGATCGACGCCGGCCCCATAGCGCCGCCCCATAGCCCGCCCCACACCTCTGCCCCACGGCAGACCCGGAGCCCCCCCCCCAAGGAGCTGGTCCGGCCCCCCGGGGGGAGCGATGCTGGGGCCGATCGGCTCTTCCCACCGCAGGTAATGGGGGTTAATGGGATCAATGGGGATCAATGGGATGGGGATCAATGGGGATGGGGATCAATGGGGATCAATGGGGATGGGATTGGGAGGGGATTGGGTTGGAACTGGGGAGAAATTGGGAGGGATTTTGAGGGATTCGGCAGAATTTGAAAGGTTTTGGTTCGGATTTTGGGGAAATTTTGATGGATTTGGAAAATTCTGACAGATTTGAAGAAATTTTGAGATATTCTGAGAAATTTTGATGAATTTGTCAGAATTTGAGAGGTTTTGATCGAAATTTTGGAGAAATTTGCAGGGATTTTGAGAAACCTTGACGGATTTTGAGAAATTTTGTGCGATTTTGATGGATTCAGCAGAATTTGAAAGTTTTTGTTGTAATTTTGGACAAAATCTGATGAATTTTGATGAATTCATTAGAATTTGAGAGGTTTTTGTTGGAATTTTGTTGAAATTCTGATGGATTTGTAGAAATCCTGCTAGATTTTTATAAATTCCGATGGATTTCGATGAATCTGTCAGAATTTGAGAGGTTTCTGTTGTAATTTTGGGTAAATTTTAATGGATTTTGAGAAATTTTGATGGATTTTGAGAAATTCTGATGGATTCGTCAGAATTTGAGAGGTTTTGGTTGGAATTCTGGATAAATTTTGATAGATATTGATAAATTCTGATCGATTTTGATGAATCCATCAGAATTCGAGCGCTTTCTATTGTAACTTTATTGAAATTCTGTTGGATTTTGACAAATTTTGCTGGATATTGATAAATTCCGAGTAATTTCACCGAACCCATCAGCATTGGAACCGTTTCCATAGTAATTTTCTTAAAATTTTTCCACCCGCGCACGACCCCTTCCGTATTTTTCACATTTTTGCCCCTCACCTCCCCCACCCCCATTTCTGTTGTAATTTTCTTAAAATTCCTCCGCCTGCGCACGACCCCCTCCGTATTTTTCACAAATGTTGCCCCTCCCCCCCCCATTTCCATTGTAATTTTCTTAAAATTTTTCCACCCGCGCACGACCCCCTCCGTATTTTTCACAAATGTTGCCCCGCCCCCACCCGTTTCCGTTGTAATTTTCTTAAAATTTTTCCACACGCGCACGACCCCCTCTGTATTTTTCACAAATGTTGCCCCTCCCCCCCCACCCATTTCCATTGTAATTTTCTTAAAATTTTTCCACACGCGCACGACCCCCTCTGTATTTTTCACAAATGTTGCCCCTCCCCCCCCACCCGTTTCCGTTGTAATTTTATTAAAATTCCTCCACCCGCGCACGACCCTCCGTATTTTTCACAAATGTTGCCCCTCCCCTCCCCCACCCCCATTTCCGTTGTAATTTTCTTAAAATTTCTCCACCCGCGCACGACCCCCTCCGTATTTTTCACAAATGTTGCCCCTCCCCCACTTATTTCCATTGTAATTTTTTTAAAATTTCTCCACCCGCGCACGACCCCCTCCGTATTTTTCACAAATGTTGCCCCTCCCCCACTCGTTTCCATTGTAATTTTATTAAAATTTTTCCACCCGCGCACGACCCCCTCCGTATTTTTCACAAATGTTGCCCCTCCCCCACCCGTTTCCGTTGTAATTTTCTTAAAATTCCTCCACATGCGCACGACCCCCTCCGTATTTTTCACAAATGTTGCCCCTCCCCCACCCCATTTCCCCTCCCCCACCCGTTTCCATTGTAATTTTATTAAAATATTTCCACCCGCGCACGACCCCCTCTGTATTTTTCACAAATTTTGCCCCTCCCCCACCCCCATTTCCATTGTAATTTTCTTAAAATTCCACCCGCGCACCACCTCTGTATTTTTCACATTGTTGCCCCTCCCCCACCCCATTTCCCCTCCCCCCCCCCCCCCCCCATTTCCCCCCCCCCATTGCAGTGGATCTGCTGCGACATCCGGTACCTGGACGTGAGCATCCTGGGTAAGTTCTCGGTGGTGATGGCCGACCCCCCCTGGGACATCCACATGGAGCTGCCCTATGGGACCCTCACCGACGATGAGATGCGGCGCCTCAACATCCCCGGCCTGCAGGATGAGGGCTTCCTCTTCCTCTGGGTCACCGGAAGGTCTGACCCCCACTGAAATGGCGGGGGGGGGGGGGGGGGGTCCATTGGGGTCTTAGAATGGGGGGGTTCCATTGGGGTCTTCCATTGGGATCTTCCATTGGGGTCTTAGAATGGGGGGGTCCATTGGGGTTGTCCATTGATATCCTCCATTGGGGTCTTCCATTGGGATCTTCCATTGGGGTCGCCATTGGGGTCTTCTATTGGGGTCTTACATTGGGGGGTCCATTGGGGTCTTCCATTGGGGGGTCCATTAGGGGGGTCCGTTGGGGTCTTCCATTTGGGATCTTCCATTGGGGTCTTCCATTGGGGGGGTCCATTGGGGTCTCCATTGGGGTCTCCATTGGGGTCTTCCATTGGGGGGTCCATTGGGGGGGTCCATTGGGGGGGTCCATTGGGGGGTTCCATTGAGGTCTCCATTGGGTTCTTCCATGGGGGGGTCCATTTGGGTCTTCCATTGGGGTCTTCCATTGGGGAGTCCATTCGGGGGGTCCATTGGGGGGTTCCATTGAGGTCTCCATTGGGGCCTCCATTGGGGTCCCCCAACCCCATCAGGGCCCCAAACCCCCCTTAGATACCCTCAAACCCCCTTTATTGTCCCCAAATCCCCTTTATTCACCCCAAACCCCCTTTATTCACCCCAAAAACCCCTTTATTGACCCAAAACCCCCCTTTTTGACCCCAAAACCCCCTTGGTGACCCCAATCCCTCCTCTCCACAGGGCCATGGAGCTGGGCCGCGAATGCCTCAACCTCTGGGGGTGAGTTTTGATGTTCTGAGCTCCCCAAAATCACCGTTTTTCACCCCAAAATGACCCAAAATCGCTTTTTCATCCAAAATGATCCAAAATAGCCCTTTTTCACTCCAAAATGACCCAAAATCACCGTTTTTCACCCCAAATGACGCAAAATCGCTTTTTTTCACCCCAAATGACCCAAAATCATCGTTTTTCACCCCAAATGACGCAAAATCGTTTTTTTCACCCCAAATGACCCAAGATCGCCCTTTTTCACCCCAAAATTGCCATTTTTCACCCCAAAATGACCCAAAATCAGTTTTTACCCCAAAATTACCCAAAATCACCCTTTTTCACCCCAAAATGACCCAAAATTGCTTTTTCACCCAAAATGACCCAAAATCACCCTTTTTCACCCCAAAATCGCCGTTTTCACCCCAAATGACCCAAAATTGCCCTTTTTCACCCTAAATGACCCAAAATCACCTTTTTACACCCCAAAATCGCCATTTTTCACCCCAAATGACCCAAAATCGCTTTTTCACCCCAAATGACCCAAAATCGCGGTTTTTTCCCCCAAACGGGCAGGTACGAGCGGGTGGATGAGATCATCTGGGTGAAGACCAATCAGCTGCAGCGAATCATCCGCACCGGCCGCACCGGGCACTGGCTCAACCACGGCAAGGAGCACTGCTTGGTATGGGGGGAAAACGGGCGATTTTGGGTCTTTTGGGGTGAAAAAGGGGGATTTGGGGTCTTTTGGGGTGAAAAAGGGGGATTTTGGGTCTTTTGGGGTGAAAAAGGGGGATTTTGGGTCTTTTGGGGTGAAAAAAGGGGGATTTTGGGTCTTTTGGAATGAAAAAGGGGAATTTTGGTTCTTTTGGGGTGAAAAAGGGGGATTTTGGGTCTTTTGGGTGAAAAAGGGGGATTTGGGGTCTTTTGGGGTGAAAATGGCGATTTTGGGTCATTTGGGGTGAAAAAGGGGGATTTAGGGTCTTGGGGTGGAAAAGGGGGATTTTGGGTCTGGGAGGGGGGTTTTGGGGTGGAAAAGGGGGATTTTGGGTCTGGGAGGGGGTTTTGGGGTGGAAAAGGGGGATTTTGGGTCCAAGAGGGGGGTTTTGGGGTGGAAAAGGGGGATTTTGGGGTGGAAAAGGGGGATTTTGGTGTCCTGGACTGGGCTTTTGGGGTGGAAAAGGGGGATTTTGGGTCCAAGAGTGGGGTTTTGAGGTGGAAAAGGGGGATTTTGTGTTCCGAAAGGCCTATTTTGGGTTCAGAAAGGCAGATTTTGGGTTCAGAAAGGCAGATTTTGGGTACAGAAAGGCCGATTTTGGGTACAGAAAGGCAGATTTTGGGTTCGGAAATGCAGATTTTGTCTCATTTTGGGTCAAAACCCCCCATTTTTCCCTATGAGGTCGGGGTGAAAGGCAACCCCCAAGGCTTCAACCGGGGCTTGGACTGCGACGTCATCGTGGCCGAGGTGACGCCCTTTAAACCCCAGCCAATCACAGCCGCCGCCGCTGATGACGTCATTGGCGGCGTCATTTGCATATGCTAATGAGGGCGTCGGTGTCGACCAATCAGGTGCGGTCGACGAGCCACAAGCCGGATGAGATCTATGGGATGATCGAGAGGCTCTCGCCCGGCACGCGCAAGATCGAGCTCTTCGGGCGGCCCCACAACGTCCAGCCCAACTGGTAATTAGCATCTCATTAGCATATAATTAACATCTCATTAGCATCTGATTAACGGGGGATTGATAGCTCGCTAATAGGTGCTTAATAGCGCGATAATGGTTAATCTATAGTGGGTAATAAATAGGTTGGGAATGGGTGATAATAGTGCGGTAATGGGGAATTAATAGGGAATTAATGGAGAATTAATGGATCGGTAATAGATTGGTGATGGATAATTAATGAGGGTGAATTGATAGGTTGGTAATGGGTGATTAATGGATAATTGATGGCTTGGTAATAGGTCAGATGGATAATTAGTAATTAATGGGTAACTGATACCTCAGTAATGGGTAATTAATAACTAATTAATAGCTTGCTAATAGCTCATGATGGATAATTAGTAATTAATGGCTAATTAATAGCACAATAATGGCTATTCAAGATCTAATTAATGCCTAATTAATAGCTCAGTAATGGCTAATCAGTAACTAATTATGACAAATTAATAATTGAGTAATGGCTCTTCAAGAACTAATTAATTGTTAATATCTTGTTATTAGCTCGGTAATGGCTAATTAATAACCAATTAATGGCTAATTAATAGCTCAGTAATGGCTATTCAAGAACTAATTCATGGATAATTAATAGCTTGTTAATAGCTCAGTAATGGCTATTCAAGAACTAATGAATGACTAATTAATACCTATTAATAGACTGATAGATGAATGAATGCCCCTAGCTAAGGAATGCCCCCAATGAATCAATGATCGACCCTAATGAATGAATGACCATCATTAATGAATCAATGACCCCAATTACCTCATTAATGACCCTAATGAGTTAATTAACGATGCTAATGAGATAGTTAATGGTTATTAATGGCTATTAATTAATTACCAGGATCACGCTGGGGAACCAGCTGGACGGGATCCACCTGCTGGACCCGGACGTGGTCGCTCACTTCAAGCGGCTCTACCCCGACGGCGTCATCTCCAAGCCCAAAAACCTCTAGTTTGGGGGCCCGATTTTGGGTCAAAAAACGGCGATTTTGGGGCCGCAATAAAGGGCAATGCGGGGGGAAGGCTCCGGGTGTGTTTGTTATGGGGGGGAAGGGGGTTTTGGGGGGAAAAAGGAGAGTTTTGGGGTGACAAAAGGTGGGGTGGGGGGAGATCGTTTTGGGGGCTAAAAACCCCATTTTTGGGGTTAAAAAGCCCATTTTTGGGGCTAAAATGCCCATTTTGGGGGGCTAAAAAGCCCATTTTGGGGGGTTCAGAGACTGGTTTCTGGGGTGAAAAAGAACATTTTTAGGGTTAGAAAAGCAGGGTTTTGGGGTGAAAAAGATCATTTTGGGGCTAAAAAGCCCATTTTTGGGGGCTAGAAATTCCATTGTAGGGGTCTAAAGCCTGGTTTTGGGGTGAAAAAGAACATTTTGGGGGCTATAAAATCTGGATTTAGGGGTGAAAAAGATCATTTTGGGGCTAGAAAGCCCATTTTGGGGTGTAAAATGTCCATTTTTGGGGTCTAAAGCCTGGTTTGGGGGTAAAAAAGAATGTTTTGGGGGCTAAAAAGCTCGTTTTGGGGCATCCAAATCCCATTTTTGGGGCTAAAAACCCCATTTTTGGGGATCCAAACCCTGTTTTTTGTGCTCCAAGACCTGGTTTTGGGGTTAAAAAGCCCATTTTTGGGGTTCCATACCTTGTTTCTTGTCCTCCAAGATGCAGTTTTGGGGCTAGAAAGCCCATTTTTGGGGTTCCAAAGGCCGGTTTTGGTGCCAAAAGATACAGTTTTGGTCCTCCAGGACCCATTTTTGGGGTGCAAACACGCATTTTTCGGTCCCCAAGCCCCATTTTTGGGGTAAAACCACTCAGTTTTGGGTCAACTCCCCCATTTTTAGCCCCCCCAAGCCCCATTTTCGGGGCAACCCCCCCCATTTTTGGCCCTTCCAGACCCATTTTTGGGGTGAAACTCCCCAGTTTTAGGTCCCCAAGCCCATTTTGGGGTCAAAACCCCCTATTTTGGGGTCAAAACCCCCCATTTTTAGTTCCCCAAGCCCCATTTTTGGGTCTCCAACCCCATTTTTGGGGTGAAAACGCCTATTTTTAGGTCCCCGAGCCCCATTTTTAGGCCTCCAACGCCCATTTTGGGTCGAAACCCCCTATTTATGGGTCGAAAACCCCATTTTTGTGTCCCCAAGCCCCATTTTTGGGTGAAACCCCCTATTTTTGGGACTAAAAACCCCGTTTTTGGCTCAACCCCCCCTATTTTTGGGTCGAGAAACCCCATTTTTCGGTCCCCAAGCCCCATTTTTGGGTCAAAACCCCCCTTTTTTGGCCCTTTTTCCCCCCCAACCACACCCGAAGGCTCCTGCACCCCTTTAATACGAACCAGGGCACAAAGGGGGGGTCTATGGGGGGGTGGAGGGCGCCCCATGAGTGCCTATGGGGGGGGTGGGGGAGGGGCTCACTTGACGAAGACGACGCTGTTGGGGCCGGCGTTGCGGGCGGCGAGCCAGGCCAGGAACACGTCCCTGCGGTTTGGGGCGAAAAAGGGCGATTTTGGTTAAAAATGGGGTTTTTGGTTAAAAAGGGCTTTTTTTTGGGGGAAAAAAGGGGTTTTGGGTGGAAAAAGGGGGTTTTGGGGGAAAAAGGGGGTTTTTGGCCCGTTTTTGGGTGGTTTGGGGGTGGTTTTGTCTGTTTTGGGGGGTTTTGGGCTGGTTTTGCCCATTTATGGGTGTTTTGGGGCTGTTTTGGGGTGGTTTGGGGCCATTTTTGGCCGTTTCTGGGTGGTTTAGGGGTGGTTTTGTCTGTTTTGGGGGGGTTTTAGGGCTGGTTTTGCTCATTTCTGGATATTTGCGGCCATTTTGGGGTGGTTTTGCTCATTTATGGGTGTTTTGGGGCTGTTTTGGGGTGGTTTGGGGCCATTTTTAGCTGTTTCTGGGCTGGTTTTGCAAGTTTTTGGCGGTTTCTGGGTGTTTTGGGGCTGGTTTTGCTCATTTCTGGGGATTTTGGGGTCGTTTTTGGGTGATTTCGGGCCATTTTTTCCCGTTTCTGAGTGTTTTTGGCCTGATGTTGCTCATTCTGGGTGTTTTGGGGCCATTTTTGGCCATTTCTTGGTGTTTTGGGGCTGGTTTTGCTCATTTGAGTGTTTTGGAGCTGGTTTGGGGCCATTTTTGCCCGTTTCTGGGTGTTTTGAGGCCGTTTTTGGGTGTTTCTGGGTGTTTTGGGGGTGTTTTTGGGGTGTTTTTGGGTGTTTTGGGTACCCACCGGCAGTGCCTGACCACGCACTCGCTGCTGCAGTATTCCTCATCCCAGTCCCCGCTGGCCACGGGCGCGTTCCCGCATCCCGCCCGGATGCAGCGTGCGGGGGGGGGGTCCTCGGGTACCAGCTCCACGGCCAGGCCCGGGGGGGACTCGGCCTGCGGGGGGGGGGGATGGGAACAGCATCGGGGACCATTGAGCCCCATTGAACCCCATTAAAATCCCACTGAACCCCATTAAATCCCATTGGATCCCAATGAATCCTATGGAAATCCCAAATCCACCCAAATTCCCTCCAAAATCCACAATTTCCCCCCAAATTCCCCCCAAATTCCTCCCAAATCCACGATTTCCCTCCAAATTCCACCAAACACCCCGAAAATTCCTCAAAATTCCCCCAAAATCCCAGCAAACCCCCAAATCCACGATTTCCCCCCAAAATTCCCACCCAGTTTCCCCCAAACACCCCCAAATCAGCCCAAATTCCTCCCAAATCCACAATTTCCCCCCAAATTCCACCAAATTCCCCCCAAATCCCTCCTAAATCCAGCAAATTCCCCATAATTCCTCCAAAATTCCCCCCAAATCAGCCCAAATTCCTCCCAAATCCACAATTTCCCCCCAAAATCCCACCAAATTCCCCCCAATTCCGCCCAAATCCACAATTTCCCCCAAAATCCCACCAAACACCCCCAAAATTCCCCTTTAAATGCACAATTTCCCCCAAAATCCACAATTTCCCCCCAAAATCCCCCAATTTCCCCCCTATCCCCCCCCCATTCCTCACCTCTCCACCAAACTCCCCCCCCACCATCTCCACCACCTCCTCCTCTTCCTCCTCCTCCTCCTCCTCCTCCTTCTTCTCTCCTCCATCCTCTCCATCCTTCCCCTCCCCCCCCACTCCTCCTCCCAGTGCCGGTACTGGTGGTACTGGTGCCGATGCCGATGATGACGTCACCACCGGCGCCGCCAGCACGCGGAGGGGGGGCAGGATCTTGATGTGCAGGGGGGGGGTCCCCGGCGCTGGCGTTGCCACGGGCAACGTGAGGCGCAGGCGGGGGGGGGGCGCCGTCGCCGTGGCAACCGCGGATGCCGTGGCAACGGGGACCGGATGCTGCATGGCCTGGAGAGGGGGCGGAGCTTGCAACAGCGCCCCCCCTTGGATGGGAGGAGCGGGGACCGGCGGGGGCATCTGTTGTAATGGTGGCGGGTGGAGGCGCGGCGGCGGTACTGGTGGTACTGGTTGTACTGGTGGTACTGGTTGTACTGGTGGCGGTGGGGGTCGCGGTGGGACCGGGATGACGGCGAGGACGGAGGGAGCAAGGAGGAGTTGGGTGATGGGGGGGGAGGAGGGGGAGGGGGATGGGGATGGGGTGGGGGAGGGGGGGGAGGAAGGGGGTGGGGGTGGGGGAGGGGTGTCGGTGTCGGGGGCGTCGGAGGTCTGGAAGAGAAAAAGGGGGGGAAAAGGAGATTAATGGTAAAATGGGGGTGGGGGACCCAAAAAGGGGGGAATTTGACCCAAAATTAGGGTGGATTTAACACAAAACACATCCATGGTGGGGAAGAAGTGGTTGTAACAATGGGGGACCCAAAAAGGGGGGAATTTGTCCCAAAATTGGGGTGGATTTAACATACAATGCATCTATGGTGGGTAAGGAATGGTTATAACAATGGGGGACCCAAATTGGGATGAATTCACCCCAAAACTCATTGGTGTTAAAAAACTGTTAATTCCATCCATAGTAGCCCCAAAAAGTGATGAATTCAGCCCAAATCCCGGCCCCATGGGACGCACCAGCACAGCGCGGTAGGCGGCCAGGGCCTTCAGGTATTCCTTCTTGGCTGCCTCCGTCTTCCTCTTGTACACCTGGAAAAGGGGGGGAATCAGATGGAATTTGGCCAAATGCCACCCAAATTGAATGAAATTCGGCCAAAATTCATCAAATTGCTGAAAATTCCACCAAAATCGCACCAAATTTGACCAAAATTCATCAAATCGCTGAAAATTCCACAAAAAACGCACAAAATTTGACCAAAATGCATCAAATTGCTGAAAATTCCACCAAAATTGCACCAAATTTGACCAAAATTCATCAAATCGCTGAAAATTCCACCAAAATTGCACCAACTTTGACCAAAATTCATCAAATTGCTGAAAATTCCACCAAAATCGCACCAAATTTGACCAAAATTCATCAAATTGCTGGAAATTCCACCAAAATCGCACCAAATTTGACCAAAATGCATCAAATCGATGAAAATTCCACAAAAAACGCACAAAATTCCACCAAACTTCGTCAAATTGCTGAAAATTTCACCAAAACTCCACCAAAACTCGTCAGTCTCACAGAATTCCACCAAAATTGTACCAAATCCCAGCCAAAATCATTGAATCGCCCAGAATTCCACCAAAATCGCACCAAATTCCACCAAAATTCACCAGATCTCCCAAAATTCCACCAAAATTGTGCCAAATTTCACCCAAATCCATCAAATCACCCCAAATTCTGCCAAAATTGTACCAAAACTCACCCAAATTCATCAAATCTCCCCAAATTCCACCAAAATTGCCCCAAATTTCACCCAAATTTATCAAATCCCAGCTCCCACCAGAATTTATCAAATCCCCCAAAATTCCACCAAAATTATACCAAATTTCACCAAAATTCATCAGATCCCTCCCAATGACCCCAATGGTGACCCCAATGACCCAATGATGACCCCAATGCTGATCCCAATGATCTCAATGACCCCAATGATGCCCCGAACGCTGCTCCCAGTGCCTCTCCCAGTGCTCCCAGTACCTCCCAGTACCCCCCCGGACCTGTTTCTGCTCCTCCCCGAGGCTGTCCCACATGGAGGCCACGATCTTGGAGACCTCCCCGAAGGTGGCGTTGGGGTTCTGGGCCCCCATGACCCCAATGATGACCCCAATGATGACCCCAGTGCCACTCCCAGTACCTCCAGTGCCGCTCCCAGTGCTCCCAGTGCTGCTCCCAATGATCTCAATGACCCCAATGATGACCCCAGTGCCGCTCCCAGTGCTCCCAGTACCTCCCAGTCCCCCCCCGGACCTGTTTCTGCTCCTCGCCGAGGCTGTCCCACATGGAGGCCACGATCTTGGAGACCTCCCCGAAGGTGGCGTTGGGGTTCTGGGCCCCCATGACCCCAATGATGACCCCAATGATGACCCCCATGACCCCAGTGCCGCTCCCAGTGCCCCCAGTGCCGCTCCCAGTGCTCCCGTGGCTCCCAGTGCTCCCAGTGCTGCTCCCAATGATCTCAATACCCCAATATGCCCTCTCCCAGTGCTCCCAGTACCTCCCAGTACCCCCCCGGACCTGTTTCTGCTCCTCCCCGAGGCTGTCCCACATGGAGGCCACGATCTTGGAGACCTCCCCGAAGGTGGCGTTGGGGTTCTGGGCCCCCATGACCCCAATGATGACCCCAATGATGACCCCAATGACCCCAGTGCCGCTCCCAGTGCTCCCAGTGCCGCTCCCAGTGCTCCCAGTGCCGCTCCCAGTGCTCCCAGTGCCCCCAGTGCCGCTCCCAGTGCCCCCAGTGCTGCTCCCAGTGCTCCCGGTGCCGCTCCCAGTGCTCCCAGTGCTGCTCCCAATGATCTCAATAACCCCAATGATGCCCTGAACGCCGCTCCCATTGCTCCCAGTGCTCCCAGTACCTCCCAGTACCCCCCCGGACCTGTTTCTGCTCCTCCCCGAGGCTGTCCCACATGGAGGCCACGATCTTGGAGACCTCCCCGAAGGTGGCGTTGGGGTTCTGGGCCCCCATGACCCCAATGATGACCCCAATGACCCCAATGATGACCCCAATGATGACCCCAATGATGACCCCAATGACCCGATGACGACCCCAGAGCTGCTCCCAATGACCCCAATGCTGATCCCAATGACCTCAATGACTCCAATGGTGCCCCGAACGCTGCTCCCAGTGCTCCCAGTGCCACTCCCAGTGCCCCCAGTGCCGCTCCCAGTACCTCCAGTGCCGCTCCCAGTGCTCCCAGTGCTGCTCCCAATGATCTCAATGACCGCAATGATGACCCCAGTCCCTCTCCCATTGCTCCCAGTACCTCCCAGTACCCCCCGGACCTGTTTCTGCTCCTCCCCGAGGCTGTCCCACATGGAGGCCACGATCTTGGAGACCTCCCCGAAGGTGGCGTTGGGGTTCTGGGCCCCCATGACCCCAATGATGACCCCAATGATGACCCCAATGACCCCAGTGCCGCTCCCAGTGCTCCCAGTGCCTCTCCTAGTGCTCCCAGTGTCCCTCCCAGTGCTGCTCCCAATGATCTCAATGACTGCAATGATGACCCCAGTGCCTCTCCCAGTGCTCCCAGTACCTCCCAGTGCCCCCCCGGACCTGTTTCTGCTCCTCCCCGAGGCTGTCCCACATGGAGGCCACGATCTTGGAGACCTCCCCGAAGGTGGCGTTGGGGTTCTGGGCCCCCATGACCCCAATGATGACCCCAATGACCCCAGTGTTGCTCCCAGTGCTCCCAGTGCCGCTCCCAATGATCTCAATAACCCAATGACCCTGACGCCCCAGTGCTGCTCCCAGTACCCCAATGCTGTCCCATGTCCCAATGAGGCCAATGGGCCCCGAACGTTGCTCCCATGCCCATGTGTTGCTCCCAGTGCTCCCAGTGCCGCTCCCAGTGCTCCCAGTGCCGCTCCCAGTGCTCCCAGTGCTGCTCCCAATGATCTCAATGACCGCAATGATGACCCCAGTCCCTCTCCCATTGCTCCCAGTACCTCCCAGTACCTCCCAGTGCCCCCCCGGACCTGTTTCTGCTCCTCCCCAAGGCTGTCCCACATGGAGGCCACGATCTTGGAGACCTCCCCGAAGGTGGCGTTGGGGTTCTGGGCCCCCATGACCCCAATGATGACCCCAATGATGCCCCGAACGCCACTCCCAGTGCTCCCAGTACCTCCCAGTACCCCCCGGACCTGTTTCTGCTCCTCCCCGAGGCTGTCCCACATGGAGGCCACGATCTTGGAGACCTCCCCGAAGGTGGCGTTGGGGTTCTGGCCCTTGATGGCGGCCTGGGTGTCCCGGAAGAAGAGGGCGTAGGCGGACACCGGCTTCTGGGGCTCGTTGGGGTCCTTCTTCTTCTTGGCCTTCTTGGGGGGCTTCCCTCGGCGGGGGGGGTCTGTGGGGTGAGGGGGGGGAGGGGGCGGGAAGGGGGGAGGGGGGAGGGGGCTGGGGGGCTGTGGGGGGAGGGGAGAGAAGGGGGTGGGGAATAATGAGAAATTAGAAGGGAAGTGGGGGAATAATGAAAAAATAGAAAGAAATTAGGGAAAATGATGAAAAATTAAAAGGGAATTGGGGGAAATAACAAAAAATAGAAAGAAATTAAGGGAAATTTTGAAAAATTTGAAGGGAATTGGGGAAAATAACAAAAAAAGAGAAGGGAATTGAGGAAATGACAAAAAATCAGAAGGAAATTATGGAAAATAAGAAAAAAAAATCAGGGAAAATTATGAAAAGTTAGAAGGGAATTAAGAGAAATAGAAAGAAATAACGAAAAATTTTAGAAAAATTACAAAAGAATTGCGGAAATGACAAAAAGCCAAAAGGAAATTATGGAAAATTTGAAATAATTGGGTAAGATTATGAAAAATTAGAAGGGAAGAAGAGAAATAAAACAATAGAAGAAAATTGGAAAAATTATGAAAAATTAGAAGGGAATTGGGCAAAATTAGAAAAAAATAGAAGGGAATTGGGGAAATAACAAAAAACAGAAAGAAATCAGGGAAAATTTTGGAAAATTAGAAGGGAATTGGGGAAATAACAAAAAATAAAAGGGAATTGGCGAAAATTATGAAAAATTGAAAAAAATTGGAGGAAATAAAAAGGAAATCTCAGAAAATTAGAAAATGTTACAAAGAAATAGGCGAAATTATGAAAAATTAGAAGAAAATGGAGAGAAATTATGACATGTTGAAAGAAATTGAGAAAATAACAAAAATTTGAAGGGAATTGGGGAAAATTAGAAAAAAATTAGAAAAAAATAGAAGAAATTTAGGGGAAATAATAAAAAATTAGAAAGAAATTACGGAAAACAATAAAAAAATTAGAAGGAAACTCAAAATTACAAAAATATTGAAAAAAATTGGGGAAGATTAAAGAAAATCAAACAAAATCAGAAGAAATGGGGGATAATGGGGTCAATTGCAAAGAAATTGAAAAAAATGGCGGAAAATCGAAGGGAATTGGGGAAAATCAAAGAAAATTGGGAAAATCCAAAGGAAATGGGGGAAAAAAAGAGGTAAGCCAAAGGAAATAAGGGAAAACCAAAAGAAATTGGGGAAAAATGAGGAAAACTGAAGTGCATTGGGGAATACAAGAAGAAAATGGGGAAAACTGACAAAAAATAAAGGAATCCACAATTCTGGGCATAAAAACAACCATTTTGGGCAGCAAAACACCATTTTCAGCACCAAAACCATCATTTTTGGCCCCAAAACCATCATTTTGGCCCCAAAACCATCATTTTCACCCCCAAAACCACTTCAACGAAAATCCCCCAAAACCTGGGGCGTTTTTCCCCGAAAAAAAGCCAATTTTGGGCCATTTTTGGCCAATTTTAGGCCATTTTGGGCCAATTTTAGGCCATTTTGGGCCAATTTTAGGCCATTTTGGGGCTCCTCACCCTCCGGAACTCCTCGGCCTCCTCCTCATGCCCGGAGCCTGCAGGCGATGGGGGGGGCGAGATCCGCTCCTCCGGTGCCGCCGGTGCTGATTGGCTGGGCGGGGGGGTACCCCCGCTAGATCCCGGCGTCCCATTGGCTCCCAGGCTGAGCCCCAGCTGAGAGCTGAGCTCTGATTGGTCGATGGTGGTCAGCTGACCCGGGGCCAGCAGCCCCCCTGGGCTCAGGGCTGCCATGGGGACGTCGATGGTGACGGGGGGGGCGGTGCTGTACTGGGGGCTCATGGTGTGCTCCAGCTCCTGCGGGACGGGCACCCCAAAAATGTCTTTTTTCACCCCAAAAATGCCCTTGGGGGCCAAAAACGCCTTTGGGGTGCTCAAAACAGCTTTTTTTGCACCAAAACCGGCTTTGTGGCATCTAAAAATGCCCCTTTTTACCCCAAAAATGCCTGTGACCCCAAAACCCCTTTTTCCACCCCAAAAACGCGCTTTTTCCCACTGAAAATGCCTTTTTCCACCCCAAAAACGCTTTTTTCTGTTTGGGGTGTGGTTTGTGGTGGGTTTTTTTGTGTTTGTGGTTGTTTTTTTTTTTGTGTTTTTTGTTTTTTTTTCCACCCCAAAAACCTTTTTTCCACCCCAAAATCCCTCTTGTGACCCCCAAACCCATTTCCCCCCCATTTCCCCCCTATTTCCCCACATACCCAATTCCCCCCTATGTCTCCCCATATCCCACCCCATATCCCATGCCATATCCCCCCCCACCCCATTGTCCCCTTATCCCCCTTATATCCCACCCCATTTCCCCCTCATTCCCATCCCATATCCCCCCTTATCCCCCATAACCCCCCCATATCCCCTATAACCCCCTATTTCCCCCCATAGACCCCCATAGAGCCCTATGGCGCCCCCTAGCGGCCACCCCGTGCCGCGCTCCCCAGCACCATTGACACTCAATGGAAGCGGCTCCCCATAGACCCCCATAGACCCCCATAGAGCCCCATAGACCCCCATAGACCCCCCATAGCCCCCCATAGACACCCCCATAGACCCCCCATAGACCCCCCATAGACCCCCATAGACCCCCATATCCCCCCCTTATCCCCCCCTTATCCCCCCATACCCATCGCCCCCATTACCATGGCCAGCCCCCCCGCCAGCAGCCCCGCTCCTTGCTCCATGAGCCCGTGCCCCATGGCCATATCCAAGGCCTGCACCCCCCCATAGGGCCCGGTGCTGCCGCTGTTGGGGGGGGGGGGCTGATGATGGTGGTGATGGTGGTGATGGTGATGATGGGAGGGGGGCGGCGGCGGGGGAGGGGCAGGGAAAGGGGGCTCCGCAGCCCCTCCCCCGCTCCCTGTGGGTGCCCCTCCCCCCCCTCCTCCTGGCTCCCCCAGGTCCTCGAAGTGCCCCACGGAGACGGGCAGGGAGGGGTCGGGCTCCAGGGAGATGGGGGGCAGCTCGAACTCCTCGTCCCCCAGGCTCGGGGTGTGGAACGTCTGTGGGGAGAGATAGAGGGGTCTATGGGGGGATATGGGGGGATATGGGGGGGGTATGGGGGTCTATGGGGGGGATATGGGGGGTCTATGGGGGGATATGGGGGTCTATGGGGGGTCTATGGGGGGATATGGGGGTCTATGGGGGGGATATGGGGGTCTATGGGGGGGATATGGGGGTCTATGGGAGGGATATGGGGGGTCTATGGGGGGTCTATGGGGGTCTATGGGGGGTCTATGGGGGTCTATGGGGGTCTATGGGGGGTCTATGGGGGTCTATGGGGTTCTATGGGGGGTTATGGGGGTCTATGGGGGGCTATGGGGGTCTATGGGGGGTCTATGGGGGTCTATGGGGGTCTATGGGGAGCCGCTTCCATTGAGTGTCAATGGTGCTGGGGAGCGCGGCACGGGGTGGCCGCTAGGGGGCGCCATAGTGCTCTATGGGAGTCTATGGGGGGATATGGGGGGTCTATGGGGGTCTATGGGGGGGCTATGGGGGGGCTATGGGGGGATATAGGGATGGGGGGAAATCGGGGTATAGGGGTGGATATAGGGGGGTATGGGGGGTATATGGGGGGATATAGGGAGCATTGGGGCATAGGGGAGCAATGGGGGTATATGGAGGGATATGGGGGGAATGGGGGCTGTAGGGCAAATGGGGGTATAGAGGGAATGGGGGCTATGGGGGGATATGGGAGTGATGGAGTAATTGGGGTAAGGGGGCAATGGGGGTCTATGGGGTAATAGGGGGCTATGGGGGTAATGGGGGTCAATGGGGCACTAGGGGTCTATGGGGCAATGGGGGTCTATGGGGTTAACGAGGCAACAGAGATCTATGGGGGTTTAAAGTGTCCATGGGGGCAATGGGGGTCTGTGGGGCAATGGGTTTAATAGGGTTCTAGGGCTCCCTATAGGATCTATGGAGACAATAGGAAACAATAGGATCTATGGGTCTTTATGGGTCCCTATGGGTCTCTATGTGTCCCTATGGGTCTCTATGGGTCCCTATGGGTCCCGCCCCATGCCTTACCTCGGCGCCGGTGAGGAAGGGGTGCCCGGTGCCGGTGATGGCCAGGTAATTGTCACTGCCCCCCGGGAACTGTGGGGAGAGCAGCGCGGCACTGGGATAGTGCCCCATAGCAGCCCCATGGCCACCCCATAGACACCCATAGACACCCATAGCCACCCCATAGCCACCCATAGACACCCCATAGTCACCCATAGACACCCATAAACACCCATAGCAGCCCCATAGCCACCCCATAGCCACCCATAGACACCCCATAGCCACCCATAGACACCCATAGACACCCATAGCAGCCCCATAGCCACCCCATAGACACCCATAGACACCCCATAGCCACCCATAGACCCCCCATAGCCACCCCATAGCCACCCATAGCCACCCATAGACCCCCCATAGCCACCCCATAGCCACCCATAGACATCCCATAGACACCCATAGCCACCCATAGACACCCATAGCCACCCATAGCCCCCCCTTGGACACCCATAGCCACCCCATAGCCACCCCATAGATACCCATGGCTGCCCCATAGACACCCATAGCCACCCCATAGACAACCATAGCCACCCCATAGCCCCCCTTAGACACCCATAGCTGCCCTATAGCCCCCCATAGCTGCCCATAGCCACCCCATAGCTCCCCATAGACACTCCATAGCCACCCATACCCGCCTCATAGCCCCCATTCCCGCCCCCATTCCCGCCTCATAGCCCCCATTCCCGCCTCACAGCCCCCATTCCCGCCCCATAGCCCCCATTCCCGCCTCCATTGCCTCATAGCCCCCATACCCGCCTCCATAGCCCCCATAGCCCCCATTCCCGCCTCATAGCCCCCATTCCCGCCCTCATTGCTCCATAGCCCATTCCCGCCTACAGCCCCCATTCCCGCCTCATAGCCCCCATTCCGCTCCATTCCCGCCTCATAGCCCCCATTCCCGCCCCCATTCCCGCCTCATAGCCCCCATTCCCGCCTCATAGCCCCCATTCCCGCCTCATAGCCCCCATTCCCGCCTCCATTCCCGCCTCATAGCCCCCATTCCCGCCTCATAACCCCCATTAACGCCCCATAACCCCCATTAACACCCCATAGCCCCCATTCCCGCCCCATAACCCCCATTAACGCCCCATAGCCCCCATTAACACCCCATAGCCCGCATTCCCGCCCCATAACCCCCATTAACGCCTCATAGCCCCCATTAACACCCCATAGCCCGCATTCCAGCCCCATAACCCCCATTAACACCCCATTCCCGCCCCATTCCCCTTCACCTCCATTGCTCCTCCGTCGCCCGCCCTCCGTCCCCTCAGCGCGCCGCGCCGGAAGCCCGCTCCTTCTCTTCCTGTCCCTTCAATACCATAGAGACCATGCGGCGCGCCCGTACACTAACGTGGTTGGAGGACCGAGCTAGAGCGCCGCCCGAAAGCGGAAGTGAGTAAAGGGCGGAAGGGGAATAGGAAGGGGGGGGGGGGGGGAGATCCCGGACCGGAAGCCGGCGGGAGGAGCAGTAGAGGCGGCGCCCGCCGGCGGGGCTAGAGCGGCCCCCGCGGGGCGCGTGACGGCGTCATGGCGCGCGCGGGAAGTCGGCCGGTAACGTCATCGAGGGCGACATAAAGGGAGGGAGGGGGCCTATGGGGGGGAATATGGGGCGCTATGGGGGGGATATGGGGTGCTATAGGGGTCTATGGAGGGGATATGGAGTAGTATAGGGGGACTATGGGGTGCTATAGGGGTCTATGGAGGGGATATGGGGAGCTATAGGGGTCTATGGAAGGGATATGGGGTAGTATAGGCAGGCTATGGGGTGCTATAGGAGTCTATGGGGGGATATGGAGGTATAGGGGGATATGGGGTGCTATAGGGGTCATGAGGGGATATGGGGAGCTATAGGGGTCTATGGAAGGGATATGGGGTGTATAGGCAGGCTATGGGGTGCTATAGGGTTATGGGGGGATATGGAGTAGTATGGGGGACTATGGGGTGCTATAGGGGACTATGGAGGGGATATGGGGAGCTATAGGGGTCTATGGAAGGGATATGGGGTAGTATAGGCAGGCTATGGGGTGCTATAGGAGTCTATGGAGGGGATATGGAGTAGTATAGGGGGACTATGGGGTGCTATAGGGGTCTATGGAGGGGATATGGGGAGCTATAGGGGTCTATGGAAGGGATATGGGGTAGTATAGGCAGGCTATGGGGTGCTATAGGGGTCTATGGAGAGAATATGAAGCAGTATAGGGGGGATATGGGGCACTATAGGGGTCTATGGGGAGCTATAGGGGGGCTATGGGGCACTATAGGGATCTATATAGGAGATACAGAGCACAATAGAGGGCATCTGGGGCACTATAGGGGCCTATGGGGGGGATATGGGGCACTACAGGGTGGATATGGAGCACTATAAGGGGGATATGGGGCACTATAGGGGCCTATGAGGGGAATATGTGGCACTATAGGGGCCTATATAGGGGCTATGGGGCACTATAGGTGGGATATGTGGCACTATAGGGGCCTATGGGGGGGTATAGGGTTCTATAGGAGAAATATGGGGTACTACAAAGGCCTATATAGGGGGTATGGGGCGCTATAGAGTGGATATGGGGCACTATAGAGGCCTATAGAGGGGTGTATGGGGCTCTATGGGGGATATTGGACACTATAGAGGCCTATGAGAGAGTTATATAGGGGATTTATGGGGCTATAGGGGGGATATGGGGCACTATAGAGCCCTATGGGGAGTTATATGGTGCTATAAGGGGAATATGGGATAACATAGGGGAGCTATGGGGTGATATGTGGGCCTTTAGTGGAGCTGTAGGGGCCCATAAGGGATCTATGGGGGGGTTAGGGGCCTATAGGGGATGTATTGGGGGAATAGGGAGCTATGGGGGGGATTTGGGGGCTCTATGTGGGGTACATAGGGGGACTATGGGAGGATATGGGCGTCTATAGGGTGGTTATGTGGGGCTTAAGAGGGATATAGGGTCTATATGGGGAATATAGGGCAATGAAAGGGGGGTACCTCTTGCTATAGGGCACTTATGGGGCGATATGGGGGGCTATAGGGGCTATATAGGGGCCTAAGGGGGGTATATAGGGGTCTATGGGGGGGATATACGGGCTGGAGTTGGCTCCGCCCCCTGTATGACATCATACCTCCCTCCATAGGAACGAGAGCTCCCATTGGCTGATGGCTCGTCCTGGCTCCTGTGACGTCATTGGCAGGCAGAGGTGAGGATTGGTGGCCAATGGGTGGCCATCATCACCATTGGGCAAGACCCACCAAAATGTCCCATTTTCCCCCAAATTTAAGGGTTTTCCTCCTTTTCCAACCCATTTCCCCCCCCAAAATGTGTCTTTTTGGGCAAAAATTCCCTCTTTTCCTCTCCCTGTTACCAAAAAGCTCAATTTTGGTTGAAAACCCCTCAAATTTGGGGCGTAAAGGGAAGATTTGGGGGTGTTTTAACAAAAAATGGTAGTTTTGGAGGCAGCAAAATGGGTAAAACGGGCTTTTCAGCCCCATTTTGATGCTGGTTTGGGGAGGGAGATGGGTTTTTCTGTTAGAAAAGCTAAAAAAAGGGTTTTTTCATTGTTTGCGTAAGAAAAAGTGGGATTTTGGTAAAAAACAAGTAATTTTGAGGTATTTTAATGGCTTTTTAGTGAATTTGATGAGTTTTGCAGTGGATTACATGAATTTCAGAGTGAATTTGCTGAGTTTTTAGTGATTTTAAGGAAGTTTTAATGAAATTGATGATTCTTTAAGCAAATTTGCTGGGTTTTCAGCGAATTTGATGAATTTTGGGTCAAACTCAGTGAATATGAAGGGAACCTGCTGAATTTTCAGTGAATTTGATGCCATTTGAGTGAAATTGATGATTTTTAGTGCAAATTTGATGAATTTTCAGTGCATTTGGTGAAAGTTTGATTAAGTTCAATGAATTTGGAGGAAATTTGGTGAATTTTAGGGAAATTTTTGGTGTTTTGAGATAATTTTGCTCAATTTTCATGTAAATCCACTGCATTTTAGAGTGAATTTTATGGAATTTGAGGGAATGGCATGGATTCGGAGCTGGATTTGCTGAGTTTTGGTGAATTCTGCTTCATTTCCACCCAATTTTAACCAAATCTGCCCCAAATTTCACCCAGATTTATAATTTTTAATGCTTTTCACACAGTTTCACCCAAAAAAAGGGTGGATTTTGGGGCTTTTTAAGGCCATTTTCCGTAATTTCAGTGATTCAGACCCGAATTTCCATCAGAATTTGGGGCTTTGGGTGTCTAATTGTGAGGTTTCCTGCCCAAATTTGCCCAAAAAGGTGAATTTTGGTGTGTTTTGGCCTGTTTGGAGCCGTTTTTGGTGCTTGAAAATGGGATTTTTTAGGGATTTGGGGGAAAATTTGGACCGAATCTGTCATTTTTGGGACGAATTGGGGTTTTTCCACCTTTAATTCCCCCCCACAATGGACGATTTTAGGGCATTTTGGTGCCATTTCCTCCTTTCAAAAGCTTTTCCCCCTCAATTGTGCCCCAGATGCCCTCCAAAATGGGTAAAAAAAGGCGGTTTTGGTCATTTTGGTCCCAAAAACGAGCGTTTTGAGGGACTTGGGTGCAGTTTGCAGCTGCTTTTTGGGTGGAAAAGCGTGGTCTTGAGGCAATTTCCACTCGAATTCCCTCATAAAAGGCGAATTCTGGAACTTTCCTCCACTTTCCCCACTGAAAAGTCCATTTTTTGTGAGGATTTTGGTGAAAAAAGTCAACTTTTGTGGGGTTTTGATGGAAAAAGTCCATTTGGGGGGGGTTTGGTGCCATTTGGGGCTTCAAAACTCCTCTTTTGAGCGCATTTTACCACAGAAAGCAGTGGATTGTGCACTTCGATTGCTTTTCTCGTTCCAAAAAGGGGGGTTTGGGGCGGTTTTGTCTCATTTCGGCTGCTTCTTGCTCCTCTTTGCCCCAAATCCCCTCCAAACGCCCTTTTCTCACACAAATCCTTACGGAAAACGCTGCTTTTCGCACTTACTCCGTGCTTTCCGACCCCATTTACCTCAGCTCAAACCGATTGTATGTGTGTGTGTGGGGGGGGGTGGTGTGCCGCTTATTCCGCTCTTTCCCCCCCT